TTCGGAACACAAATTAAGATATTTTTGATGAAATCCAAGAGCTTTCTGACCTTGCATAGACAGCATGCAACTACCATGTTCAAGGCCCAGAAAGGTAGAAATGACATTGTTAAAATAGTCCATGTGACATCAGTGGTTCAACCGTAATTTTTTGAAACTATGAGAATACTTTTTGTGCGCAAAGAAAACAAAAATAATGACTTTATTCAACAATTTCTTCTCTTCCGTGTCAGTCTTGATGTGCGTTCATGAGAGTACCATTTTTGGGTAAACTATCCCTTTAACAACCTATATCTATAATTTTATCGTCGTAAAACTAAACATATTTAGCATAATATTGAGCTTAAAAAGTGAAATTAAAAAAATTAATACGTAAAAAAATCGTTAGTTTAGATATTTTCTTAGTTAAAAAAATACATTTATATATCAAAGAATCCTGTAAATCATGGTTTCCACAAAAATATTAAGCAGCACAACTGTTTTTAACATTAATATTGTAAAGAAATGTTTCTTAAATCGCCAAATTAGCATATTAGAATGATTTCTGAAGGATCATGTGACACTGAACCATGTAGTAATGGTTATAGAATATAGAATATAAAAAATAAAATAATATAAAATAAATATTAAATAGATTTTAAAATATTTGATAAATAAAATATTTTAAACCATACTATTTCACATTGTCCTGCTTTTGCTGTATTTTTCATTTATTGAATGCATCTTTGGTGATCATAAGAGACTTATTTCAAAAACAACAACAAAATCTATCCGACCCCAACATTTTGATCAGTAATGCATACTGGAAATGATCAACAGGTGTAACACTAATAACTGGAGATCATCTCTGTGCAGGGCAAGAACAAAGTAAGGCGTGTGAAAACCATCTACGATTGCCAAGCGGATAATGACGATGAGTTGACTTTTGTGGAGGGGGAGGTTATAATTGTTACAGGAGAGGAAGACCAGGAGTGGTGGGTAAGTAAATCTGCGCAGTGCGCTTGCCACTAGCATTGATAGTTCCGTTTTAGGACAGACTATCACATTCATCAACCTGCCTTTTTACAGATCGGGCACATAGAGGGGAAGCCTGAACGGAAAGGGGTCTTCCCAATGTCCTTCGTGCACATTCTGTCAGACTGACAGCGTATAAGCGGCAGCCGAGAGGCTCTCTAACTAGCACAAGCTCCGCTCTCTCTGGCCTCACACTGGACTGTGGGCATTGCCTCTGTACATAGCTGCTGAAACCCAAACAGTCTCCAAACCATCGAAACATGAAGTATCAAACCCATGCTCCCTTAATCCTCAAGGGTAAAATGTGTAAATTATGTGTTGTTCATAAACTGTGTTATACTGCCTACCAGTATTATCGTAGCCATGGCAGCCCAGCATGCCAAACTGGGTTTGCAGTAGCTATACTTGGAAATCTAGCACTTAACATGTATGCTGTAACTTTGTTTATGTGTACACATATAGAATTATATGTATGTCCATTTTAAGTGTGTCTTTGTACATACATATGCACAGATGTAAGTGTATATTTATGTACGTATATGTATAATGTACAAGTGTGCAAATGTGTTAACCCTGCTTGCTTATGGAGCCAGAGTGACTAGACATTTTAGTGTACTGTTTTAAAAGAAAAAAAGATCAAGGCGTAAATGATGAGCAAGAATACTTAAATACTATACAAGTGTTGAAATTCCCAGCATAGTGGGATTCTGGTCAGGGATCAAAACCAAAATGTAAAGGTTTGAACATCTCATCTGCTCTACATGAACAATAAAAATATGCATTCACACGGTTTGCTTCACTCACAAAAAAAAAAACAACAGAAATCATCTTTATCCTGAATTCCTCAGTGAGTAGGAGACCAATTTACAGCCCTAGAAATTGCTGGTGCAATGCTACCACTTTCTACCAGTATGTTCATATGGCGGTTGTATCCAAGGATGTTACCACACATAACCAGTAATAATTTAAGAATGAACCACTGAAGAGCTCATATCGGTCAAACATTTCAGTGTCTATTGTGGTTGCGGCCTTGGTTGCATCAGTGGGACCGCTTCATTCCTTCCCCATTGTCGTTTTATGCCAAATCTGACAAAACCGATGCCTCAGCTCTGGGAAAGTGTCCTTGTCGATATTCTTTTATTAGATCATACAACAGCGTACCTTATTCATTTGGTCTCTGGTTATCAGTCATGAATCATGCATAATTTCTAAAGCTTCACTCGTACATGGATCTGACTAGTCAAACGTTGTTGGCTTTGTATAAAAATGGATATATGTTGAGCAGAACACAATCTGTTAAAGGTTGCTTAGGAGGAGTTTTGCTGTTTGCTTACAGTGACTGTGGAATGTGATTTCTTTCGGTTTGTTTTGTTCATTTACTTTGAAATGAGCTGCAAGGGGACCCGGCAGTGAGTGACTGATTCGGTAGGACTCAGAATGAACTAATCCTGCCTCTTTTCTCGTTACCCTATCAGGGAGACCAGCATTCACTCTTTGTTTTTAACTGTTATTGTATTAACAATATGATGTAAGATGTATTAATGAATGCCACCTGTACTATATTTGATGATGATAGTATTTGACATTTATAGGGCTAAAGTGTTTCAGCATGGAGAGGGATGGAACCTTCAAGTGTAGTTTATTATGGGTTTTGTTTCTCTGTTTTAGTTCATGTTACGATTAAATAATATCAACTAAGGAATAAATAACGGGAATTCAGCACAAAGAACATCTGCTCCGTGAACAAGACAAAACAACTTCATGATTGTGGTATAAAGTTGTGGACGCACCATTCCTGGACTGTTTTGTTTAGACCCCATTGATGAGCCCACTGTTGGACCACGTCTATCTGCTTAGAAGTTCAATCCAGCACAACTCCAGATCGTGGATTCTTGTGTTGCTAATATTGTAGCATAATAAAGTCTGGAAACAGTCAAAAGGACAACTTCACATTTAAGTGAATAAACTGGATTCAGTCCTAATGTTAAATTTAGGATGAATTTTGCCACTCTCTCACCTTTTTTTTCTGTGTTTGCTGCACTGTAAGTTCAGTCAGAAAGAAAATCAAACTTGGATATCAAGTCTTCGAATCTTAAAATAAAGACTTTACGTTGAAACCATGTAGTCTCTATGTTATTTATTTATTCTTCAGGCTGGGTTATTTGACATACAGTGTCGGTATAAAAAAAGACTTTCAAGACTTATTTTCTGAATTTTGGCTCATGGTATTCATTAACATCAATACTAATTGAAAAGCACACAGACTTTTTTTTTTTTAACGAATCTGCATGAATTTCACATACACATTAAACATTTTTTTCCCCTCAAAATGTTTTTAACATTGATAACACCAATGATATGTCCATATTTTTTTAAAATCATTTTTGATATGAATAATGACTTATTTTCATGCTGAAAATCAGCCTCTATTAAGTGTTTTACTATTTTGTGTATTATTTTAATGGAATCATTAATATATATTGTTTAAATGTTAATATAAAATTATTTATCTTTTATATTGGATTTCTTCAAATATTTAAAATCTTTTTTTTTAAGTCACCATGTCAAAAAGTCACGTTAGTCACCATGCTTATAAATTGAGAATGACCCATAAAGCACAACTTTACCTGTTGTATCAGCCCCACTATCGTGCAAAAGAACTAGAGCGTTTCCATATTTTCATTACACAAACATTGCTTAATTGATAAAGCGAGCGTTCTATCGTATTGTTTGCGCTTTTCAGCGTGCATTTAGCATGTCTGAGCTCAAAACATAAGTGAAAGCAAAGTCATCCAAAACAGATAGAGAACGCTACATGCATAGTAAAACTAGTCAGCTTCCGCTCTCGAAATCAGTTCCTTTTATAGATGTAGGCAGAGCTTGTTTAACGCTCCCACAGTCTAGTCGAGCTCAACCTGCGCGTTAAACGCAACACTTCTGATTGGCCAATCCGGAAAATGTAGACACACTTCACAATGATCCGCTGAGCAGGGTGTTCTTCAGCGTTTCCCTATAGGCCTATTTACTTTTCACTCAATTAACTGGAAATTAAGGTAAGAATCATGGATTAAGATGCAATAGCATTCAAATATGCAACCTGACACCTGGCGCGAGAGAATGTTTGTTTCCTTCAGCACGCAGGTGAGGAGAGAGTCTATAAAGACGACCTGAGTGTAAAATGACTGAAACTAAACTAAAAGAAAGCTCAATGATAATTTATATTAAAGTTTAAGGATTTTAAATAGATAATAATGAACCTTTACTTCACAACGTTTGTATGAAAACAAGGCGTTTGATCATATTTCACTTGACTTGGAGGTTTGCATTCATTGTAATGGACGGTGATCACAGATACATCGTTTTGGCGTTATGTGTTTGTTTATGTATACACTTGTCTTATGGGAAGCCAATTTGTCTGCTGCTGAGCAGAAAAAAAGTGAATTTTATTATAAAAACCGAGACTATTCTCATGAAGAAAAGCAATGGTGCGAGTTTTCAGACTTCCTCTGTGTTCAAATAGATCATGCCACTTCCTGATTTTGTTTATTCAAAACACGCATTTAAAAGCACAAGTTCCTACATTTTGACTGTCATACAGCCACAGGTTCAAATCTAGATTATTTGATGTAAATAACCATTTATTTTGACATGGCTAATGGCCGTTTATTTAAATAAATGTTGATTATTTTAATATTTAAAATGCTCATGACACAATTGCGCGGTTCATTTGAAGTAACCACAGGGTTACCACTCTTAGGCCAATGAATTTTCATAACTTTACATGACTTTTCTAGATATTCATGATTATTGAATAAGGATTTTGATTCAGGCTGATTCACTAATGAATCTTGCAGACCACTTTGTGATCTGTTTTAAACGATTCTTAAAAGTGTTAGGCTACTCTTCACAATCTCTATGAAATAATTTAGTAGATAGGCCAATAATAATTTTAAACCCTCTTCTTTTTTATGAATACATGGTAACTTGTGTATTTAATGTGTTGTGTGCATAAAATACTAAAGTGTGTTCTCTCAAGTGAGGAACGCATAGTATTTAAAGTTGAATGGGGAAAAATAGTGGACAGTCGCTTTATTTTAGAACAGAGCATAACTATAAAATATATATTTTATAGAAATGTATATGACTTAATTCTCATTTTCCATGTCTAATTTTAAATTCCCTTATATTTCCATGTTTACATGGTCATGGTAACCATAGAAATCCACAGCCTATATGAAACTACATTCTGCATGCAAGCAAATACCTTTTGTTGTTTGTTTGTTGTTCATGTTTGCATTCATTAGCTCATCTGTACCATGTCATTGTCCTCCTCTGCGGGACTGTAGAACTGTCTGTGGTGTGCAAGGCCACAGGTTTTAATTAAAGCATGAACTATAAATATTGTCACAGCATCCTTCATTATGACCTCCAGACCAGTGGTCAGCAGTAAAACACCAAGACATGTGCAGATGTTGACTCTGCAGACTAGGTTATGGTGGATATTACTATTTTAGCATAATTTATAAGACTTTATTAAGGAAGGAAAGGAAAGCACAAAGGAAATTTGTGCTCTGCATTTAACCCATCCAAGTGCACACACACGTACACACACACCGTGAACACACACCTGGAGCAGTGGGCAGCCAATGCTGCGGCGCCCGGGGAGCAGTTGGGTGTTCGGTGCCTTGCTCAAGGGTCTCACCTCAGTCGTGGTATTGAGGGTGGAGAGAGCGCTGGATATTCACTCCCCCCACCTACAATTCCTGCCGGACCTGAGGCTCGAACCCGCGACCTTCGGGTTACAAGTCCGACTCTCTATCCTTTAAACTTATATTATATGTGTTATGTAAAAGGAGAATGGATCACAAAAAAATTGTAGTGTTTATTGTAATTATGGTCATTATTACGCAAAAGCTAATACTGATGGACGCAAATACATGTATAGCAGCTTTAGTTGTTTTTCCAGACAGTAGTTTGTAAAGAGCAATATTGCAGCAAAATCACCTGCACAGCTCTAATCACTGTAAGATGCAGATCCATAGCATCTGCTCTGTGCTGTGTGCTGTGAGATGTCAGGTTGTGATTGTGTTTCTGGATTTAGCGGAGCATTCCTGTACTGCAGGGTTCATCTAGTGGCACTTTACATGCCCTTAAGGCATGTAAGCAGTACGCCCTTCACATGTCTAGCAAGGTTTTTAACTACATTTTGATGCAGAGGTCTATATTGTTTTAAATATTTTATTTTTGAGTGCATGTAGACGCTGTATAACGACAAGATGTTAAGTAAAAAAAAGCATTTAAGTAGACTTTATTATGGTATTATTATTGAGTGTGTGCATTTTGACATTGGTGACTGAATAAATATTTAAAAACATTGAGCTTATACTACTGTATCTTGTTTTCAGTTTGAGAAGTATTGTTGTGAAGGAGGTAACCCTTTTTAGTGTTGGTTCAACTTCCTGGTTATGCTTTGTGGTAGGACAGGCTCGCTTTATCAGTCTTCACAGTCAAACAAATCAACAGAAAGTTGACACCTTTTTGTGGTCAGATGCTCTTTAAAAACTCGAGCACTATTCTTTACTGCTAGCTCGAGGACTGCCCTAGATACATTGATATGGGCAGCTTACTTGCATTTCTGCTCTAAGATACAAAGTAAATCAAATGGTGCAAAAAAGGTATTTAGACACTGTCTAAGAACACACAGCATGGGTATTTTTCAGCAGTACCTGTGCAAAAAAGCAGAGGAGAGAACACAGACACCTGTGCTGTCATGCCAGGGGAAGCATGTTTGTACAGGCCCGATAGCTGCGGCTCTCATTAGGTTTCTCGTGTTCCTGCCTGTGCATTTTTCCATGCTGCTTGGTTTTTTCTTTGGAAGAGGTATAGAGAAGTGAATCCGGCATTTCAGTTGCATGCATTGCAGAAGTTATGTTAGTGAGTGCAAGAAAGCATTTGTGAGAGAGGAAACAAGCTCATGATGGCGTGTTTATATTTTTAAAAAGTTGGTTTGCTCCGTTTTGTTTTTGCACAGTGTTTTTTGTTGGATTCAAAGTGTTGCTTTTTGTTCTGTTAAACTCAACTGATTGAGTTTCACATTTCACATTAAAATTTATAAAAGTTACTGTATAAATGTTTTTATAATTAATTTAAATACATTTTAATCCTTGTGCGTCAATTAAAAAAAGTTACACATAGGTTCGTAGAGGACCAAAATGCCCATGTCCAAAAACTGTCATAAAAATTTGAAGCTTGGGACGGGAGTACAGACTTAAGTTTGGTCTCATTTTAAAGCAGCACTATGTAACTTTTGGCGCTCTAGCGGTTAATAAACAGAACTGCACACATCCCGCGAAAGAACATTCCAACCGGAGCTACTTCTCTAAGTTTATGTCTATGGCGATTCACGCAGGTATGTGTTACTCCGCAGCGGTGACGACCCGACCAGGCTACAATAGTCCAAATATAAGTACTTATTATAAGTGTACCGTAGTGATTCGGAATAAGACAAAAACGCGGTTTGGAAGATGAATTCATGATGTACTCGCTCATTATATACATTTTGCAAATTTTGAACACAGAAAAAGTTACATAGTGCTGCTTTTAAAGAAGACCCTAGACAGATTATTGTTGAAGTTAAAAAAAAGTTGTAAAAATTTTTAACCAGAAAAGTTATAGAGGTTTAAGTTTATGAAAATTATATATAAGCAGTTTTTTATATAAAATATATATTTTATAAAACATGTTGAACACAAAAATTGCTAGAAAATAAAAGCCATAAATCTAAACAAGTTGTGTTCCAAATTTGAGGCTGACGTCTCAAAAAATGAGCTTTTAGTAAGATTTTGTTTGGGTGCAGTACCAAACTTTTCCCATTAGATTCCAGCAGAGCTCCGCTGGCATACACAGTGGTGGGATTTGTGATTCACAGTACAGTATCATTTCTCTCTATCAAACATTACAGGTGCACACACACAAACACACACATTTTTTTAGGACACACATACAAACCACACTCTGACATCCATACCAACATACCCACACCATTATTATTGCTGCATAATTTATCCAACTGGCTCTATAATGCAGCAAAAGCAGAAAACAAGAAAAATGTGAGTATTTG